CTTCTCTTGTTATCCAAACACCCTAAAGCATTATACAGTATAAAGCCTAATTGTTGGGAAATGCACTATCAAGGTTTAGGTTTGTAATGTCCTGGTCCATTCCATGCATTGCCTTAAGGTCTTGGGGTTAAATGTTCAGATTCTTTCACATGGTATCAAAGCCAGGCGTATTCTTATGGTTTACCCCAAGTGCCACATGTTGCCTGGGTGTGCAGAGGGTGTTAAAGTATCTTACATTGGTTGAGCAAATGAGATGTTCTCTTTTTATATGGTTTTACGCAATCCTCACCTCATGAGCTAGTTCTAGGGTTGAGTGAGGCCCGGGATCCATTTTCTTGGTATTAGAACCCAAACTTTGGTGAGCTCGTTTTGACAATCGCATGCTCTCCCTTCATCTTCTATTGTGCTAGGCTTCTCTCTCTTAGGTCAGCTTATGAAGCTACTATGGGAGCCTCTCTTTCTGTCTTTCACACACAAAATGCACAGCCCATTGAGTTTCTAATGTTTGTTCCAGGCCCACTGCTTGTTGCGCCTAATTTGTTTCCCTCTGCTCTAAGCCCGCTACTATTGAGCCTCTTCTCTCTTTATTTTAAGAAAACAAAAATAACAAAAAAGGGGTAAAATTTATCTTCAGTCAACGTGTAAACGCTAGAACTAGGTTATACGTGCGGGAAGGCGTTAGTAAATATACTTTTCCCTCATTTGTAGTTTATGGGTTTCCAATGGATTTTATCATGTCTTGAGCCACTCTACAGATTGCTTTAAGGTTTTGTGGATGCTTAGATCTTTACTCTTATTTCAATTAGGTACTCTATTTGCATAAAAAATAGGTGCAATAGGTTGACTTCCATGTGGTGGATTAAGGATATGTTTTTATGTTTGAGCTTGGTATAGTAGTATTTAAATAGTAATAATTGAAATTTGGAAAGTTTGAGGACTTTAATGGGCAATTGTCATGTCAGGGTTGCAATAATCTAAAATGTACTAATATAGCAGTTTAAAATTTTCAAAGGGAAAGCTCGGCAATAAAGAAAGGACAAGCGAATTGGGAAGGACAACTGAACGATTTAGGCTATTAAATCAGTACAAAGGACTTGTTAGAAAAAACAAAAATTAGTACAAAGGGACTAATCACTTTTGACAAGAATTAGTTTGTCTTAATCAGTACAAAGGTACTAATCACTCTTCACAATGCCATAAAGTACGTAGTGTCAGTTAAATGAAACAGGTTATGCTCTTATAATCTACAAAACCTAATTTATATTGATTTACTTTCATTATTGCATGCTTTTAGCTTTTGGCGAACTGTTAGGGCCAAGTTAAGATTTACTGTCATTACTGTAGTTCTGGTGACTAGATTGTGACCTAGATCTTGCTATGTGATAAGGTATTCAGGTCGTAGATCGATTATAAAATAATAATAATAATAAATTCAGTTAATAGTTGCAGACATGGTTTAATTTCTCTTGCGCTGGACCTTCTCTTTCGGGGGGTGCAGTCAGATATTAGATATGGCTGATGTTGCCATTTTTCACTATGATATTAATTCAATGAGTGGTTTGCATGTGTAGTCGAAAACCAAAAACTCTACGTTAAGTTTAAGTTAGGTTCGGACGGGAA